AAATGACTGCAATTTTCAAAGTTTAATTTATTATTTAATATATATATTTAATACATTTGTACATAAATATGTTCACAACAAAATAAAGTTTACTTAAAAGTACACAAAAAATACTATTGAGCAAATACTTGCTCAATAGTATTTTTTTTCAAAATTTTTATTTTTACAAAAATGTTGTGTTAACATTTGATGGAATATATATATATATATATATATATATATATATATATATATATATATATATATATATATATATATATATATATATATATATATATATATATATATATATATATATATTCCATCAAATGTTATTATATGATATATTCCATCAAACCGTTTATGTACTTTGTCTTTTCCATCTTTTACAGTACATTATTCTTTATCATTTTAGTTCAGTATGATATTGGATGATTCTAATACATGAAATACATGATTTTATATTAATTTTTAAACTTTAACTTAAATTAAAAATTAACTTAAATTTTAAGTTAATTTTTAAACTGCCACTTTTAAAAATTTGTATAATTTTAATAATTGTAAACTGGACTAAATATTATTAACTCGCCTCAACAGGCTCATTAATCACATTATATTTCCATACCAAACCACCCAAAGAAACGTTAATATTTAAAAATAGTTTTTTAAAAATGTTCTTTTATTAAGAAAAGAAGCTTCTATTATTCAAAAAAATTATTCTGAAGAAGTTATAACCTTCCCGAAACCTTACGCCTCAGCAACCATAGGTGGAAGTAATGGAGAAAAATTTTAAATTATGGAATAGAATGAAAAAAAACAAGCTGTAATATGTATTTATTTTCCTTCAAAACGTTTTGTACATTAAAACTAGTAAAATATTTATGTTGTAAGATATGAAAACATTTAGAATAAAAAATTATTGTAATTAGTTTCGTTCATTTTAAATCTTATGAAAACTTTAATTCCACCAAAGTTTTATATATGACTTCGTTGAACAATGTCGCATGTTTAAATTGTTAGCTCAATCGTATCTAAAAAAAATAAAATATTAAATTAAAACTTTAAAAAGCTAAAAAACACTATAGATATTAAAGTTTCTTGATTTTATTAAAAGCTCTTTAATTTTTTTATTTATTTTTTAATTAAATATAAAAATTTATTATAAAGATCTCCCCATCAGAGGAAGACCCAAGAAACAAAAAACAGCTTACAATATTTGAGATACATATCTTACTTAAATAACACATCCACCCTATGCAGGCCTCTAAAATATTACATCCCTCGAAGTATTTCTTAACAATATTTCAAACGATTAGTATTTTGTGTTTTAAATATCAGATTCCTCACTTTTAAATTCTGTATGTATCACATAAAGAAACTGAAACTTTTACATAAAATATCACATCCCCTCCCCCCCTATGTATATTTTTAAAATAAGTAATTCTTTACAATACTTCATTAGGTATCAAAAAGTGTTGGCCTTCGAGGTTGACTTAAATAAAGCAGTTAGAAAAGTACACCATAAGAAACAAGCTTATGGAGAAGACCAGCATGCCTAACTTTGTCAAAAGCTTAAGATATGTCAAAAAAAATAGCTATAGCCTCTCTGCCTCCATCTAATGCACAATAAAATCTTTCAGTTACAGCAGTTAGCAAGTCGGCCGTAGAGCGAGAGGATCGAAAACCGTATTGATTGTCTGACAGTAGTTTATTTGACTCAAGATGAGATGTGAGGAATTTGTTGATCAAAGACTCAAAGATCTTGCTAAAAACAGAAAGAAGACTGATCGGACGATAATTGGAGGGGTCAGAATTTTCTCCAGAGTTTTTGAATATTGGAACCACAGATGCCATTTTCCAACAATCAGGAAAATAAGACTCAGTCAAACACTTGTTAAATAGTTTAGAGAGAATTGAAGAAAATTCTGCAAAATAATTCTGCAAGACTGTGACAGGAATGTTGTCTGGACCACAAGCTGTAGACGAGTTTAATTGAGATATGAGTTTAGCAACAGAAGCCGGAGTGATTTGAATGTCTAACAATGGGTCAACCTGTTTGACTGGAATGGAAGGAAGAGAATGTCCATAAGATTCAAGAGTGGAATTAGAAGAAAAGTTCTTTGCAAATAGTTTTGCTTTACCCTTGGGAGAGGTAATAAGATCAATCCCTTGAATGAGAGATGGAATGTTAGATTTACACTTGTTAATAATGCTGTTGAAGATTTTCCAAAAGTCTTTAGAGCCTAACCTCTGCGATAAGATGCAAGATTTAGTGAACTGAGAATAATGGAGTTTAGCATCAGAAAGCACCTTTTTACATCGATTTCTTGCAATAATAAATAGCCGTTTGTTCTCAAGAGAGTTGTTCTTTTGAAAAAGATGAAAAAAATAATTACGATTGGATACAGCGGCCACACAAGAAGGAGAAAACAATGGAGTAGAACGAGGCTGGACTTGAAACCGACGAGAAGAAATAAAAGCTTCCATTCCAGCCTGAAATTAGGAGGTTACGTAGGAAGCGCATTTGTCAGCTGAAAGATAAAAAACATCAGCACAAGGACCATCACGAAGAAAATCACGAAAAGAATCCCAATCAGCTTTAGGGTAGTAGTAGGTAGTGCAATGATAAGGTGAGCCCAAAAAAGAAGTACAAGAAGAAAGATTTATAGAGATCATTGCATGGTCAGAACCACCTAAGGGAGAAAATGGAGAAACTGAACATAAGCTAGGGTCAGAGACAAGAGATAAGTCAAGGAGTGAAGGTAAATGATTAGGGTTGTCAGGAAAACGAGTCACAAAGTTAACTATCTGAGTAAGAGATTGAGAAACGCAGAAGTTAAAGGCTTTAGTGCCAGCAGGATCAGTGGTGTTAGAGCCAAGCCATTCAATGTGATGGGCATTAAAATCACCAACAACAACAATATTGGCAGAGGGGTAAAGAGAGAGGGCATGATCAATTTGATCAGAGATAACATCTAAAGAAGTGCAATCATGGGAAGAAGGAGAACGATAAAGAACAAAGAGAAAGGTGATAAAGGGAAGAAGTGCTAGGTGAAAGCACATTAAAGAATGGTCAAAGGAGTCGAACCTGATTTCACGACAAATAGGGGAATTAATGCGTATGTATACCCTTAAACCTAGCATGTGACTATTGGAGTCTTTACAAATCAAAGGATAGTAGCCTTCAACACTGACATCTGAAGAAGGAATTGCAGAATTTAAATTTGTTTCACTGAGTGCAAGCAAGTCTGGTGAATTTTGCAGGAGGTAAGACTCAACTGACGGAAAGTTGCTTCGTAGACCGCGAATATTTGTAAAAGATATATTAAAACATTTAGGTGGTGGGGATGGTTTTTTAGGTTTTAAATTTTTGGCTACTTTGGTCATGATTTGGGTTTAATGAGAACTTGAATCATTCATAGATAGAGCACAGCCTCCTAACCAATGAGCTATGCAGTTGTCTCAGTCCTGTTAATTAACCCTAAGCCGTGACATAGGGCTCCTTATGTGGCCTTGACAATGCACACCAAAAGCATTAAGGTGGTACAACACCAAATATTTTCTGAAAATTGAAAAAAAAAAGTGAATTTTTGATATTTCGCTCATTTTATAGACAATTTATTGTAGATTAATAATATAAAAAGCTTATTCCCAATATATCTTTTAATTTTTTAATAAGTTCACTAACTAAAAAAAAATTATATAGGAATGATAAGAATATTTAATCTTCTTTTGCGTTTTTCTCCGTTTTCAACTTTTGCGAAACATTGTCTGATTGTAAACATGATATCTTGAGAAGCAGAAGTGCTAATCACTCCAAATTTTCAGGAAATGTTTATTATACTATTCTCTAGGGAATGACATTTCGAAATTTTTAAATTCTGCTCCAATCATTTTTTTTTTTTAATTTTAAGGTCTAAAAAAGTTTTTTTTTTTTACTTGATGTAAAAAAATTCATATAATTTTTTATGTACTTGGAATATTTTAAAATCCAAATGTCAATACCTTACCTTACATGTCTAGAACATATGTAAAAAATTTCATCGATGTTGTGTTAATATATTTCAAGTTATCGTGTTTTGAATGGACCCATTAAAATGAATGTTTTTCGATAAATTCGAGGCAAAGTAATCGAGGCAATGTAAAATGAAGTTTAAAATAGCATTCTAAATTGATGAAACTTTAATTAACAAAAAATTCATCTGTTTTTTTCTAAGTTTGAACATTTTAGAATATTTGGTGGTGTACCACCTTAACAGGGACACCATCCATGCGCAACATGGCACTGTTAATACTCTGATATTTTGCAGCTGTTGATGGAACCAGCCCCTATGAGAGCTACCACAGAGTTCGGGAAACCTTACTACCAGCCGGCCTCAAAACCATTAAACTGAGTTTTAGAGCTGTACCCTCATATGGAGATAACAGGAAGAGTTGCATAGCCATTATTAAGGAGGCATAAGCAAAATTCTATGAGTAGAGTCAAGGAGATCCAGCATTCATAATCCTAGGCAGGAAACAATGTAACACAGGTTACGTCTACGCCAGCCTAATAGATGAGGAAGGGGTTCGAGGCTTTTTAGCAGAATTTTTCTGCTTACCCCTAAAGTCTTTGCCTAGGAGGCCTTCTACAAGACAGTAGCTGGATGCAGTTAACATCTGCCCAAGATGAGTATTTTTATTGAGACACCATCTCTAGCCTTTACTCAACCAAGAGCCCCAAGGTAGGGGATATTTAGCTGGATGCAGTTAACATCTGCCCAAGATGAGTGTTTTTATCGAGACACCATCTCTAGCCTTTACTCAACCAAGAGCTCCAAGGTAGGGGAATTTTTAGTCGGAGTTTATTTCTCCTAGCCTTTGCCTAAGAAGAGCACACTCTGCAAGGCAGCAGGGCTTGTGGCAGGTGGTACTGGGTTACGTGATACCAGTAGCAAGATTGATCTTGATTATCCTGACCTGACTTATTTTTCAGAAAAGGATATCCTGCTGTGAATTGTCAAGTTGTTGTTGATCTCAAGATGGTATATTTAGAGATGTTGTAATTAAGTATCCTGGTTCATGCCATGATTCATTTATATTTGCAAATTCTACTCTCAAGCAGACGCAAGAGTTAGATCCAACTGCAGGCTTTCTTTTTGGTGACTCTGGATATGGCTTGTCATCTGTCATTATAACTCCATATAGTGTGCCAGCAACACCAGATGAAATTTATTTTAATCGAGTTCAGCGAAAACCACGCAGTGAAGTGAAGCGATGCATCGGGCGTATTAAGAACCGTTGGAGGTGCTTACTTAAAAGTGGTGGAGCACTACAATATACTCCAACAATGTGCTGCAGTATCATTTTAACCTGTGTTTTACTAGAAAATATGTGTTATTCAATTGGCTTAGAGGATCCGGATGAGTTTGATATCGATGATGATGATAATAATGAAGATGATGATTATCCTGACAGACGACTAACCAATCAAACCCGACTTGGTATGAAAAGAAGAGTCCTTGTAAAAAACTATTTATTTGCTAATCCTAAACTTTAACATATTTTATTAATTTTTTTTGTTTAAAACCTTTTCAGTTAATTATATATAGATTCTAATATATATATTCCTTATCTATTAATTAAATTTAACTTATTAAATCTAATTTAAATTACTAAAGCCCTATTAATCATTTGATATAAAAGTCTCCATACGTGTAGAGAAATAAAGTCGAAAGTTTAAAAGGTGAAAAAAAAAAAGAATTTTTTTTGCAAAACCCTTGCAAAAAAAGCTCAGTAACTGTCTGCTTATCTGTTACTAGATGCGTTTAAAACATTTTAAAACCTCATATTTATATTTATATAAAGGAAACATATGAACATCTATCATTTTTTGATGAGTAAGTATTGCAAAAAAATAAGATTAATATCCAAAACGTTGAGAAGAAGAGAGTTTAAAATACTCACTACCTTAGTTGCAAATGTAAAAAAACTTCATTTGTTTATATAAACTCAAACTTAATATATTTTTTGCGTAAGTTTATGCTTAAGGTTTGCGTAAGTTTATGCTTAAGCCCTACGTAAGTTTATGCTTAAGATTTGCGTAACGCTTGCGCAGCCCTTACTCAAATGTTGCAAAATGTTTGTGAATACGGAATAGTTAAGGAAAAAAAAAAGAGAACGTAAGGTTTGCGTAACTTACGCAATAGTTACGAAAGTTTTGTGAATACGCACCCAGGGCTGTATTAACAATTATAAACTAATTGCCAGATATTCGGATAGGTGGGTCGCTTAAGTTAAACTCCGTGGCCACAAGTTTGAAATCAACTCTGAATTCTGAGTTGCTGAATTCAACAATCACCTCTAGTGCTAATGACCTAGTATCCATTAAGTCTCTTTACATGATCATCGTTACTTGTTCAATCAACTGTAATATTTGCATTCTGGGTAATAGATCACAAAGTTAGAATAGTTGGGTTCTATCTCCCTTTTGTAATGTTGAGAGAATTTAACAAAATTTATTTCATTCATTTAAACTTTTAAAATGAAAAAAGAATGTTTGAAAATTTGTAAAATTTAAGATTTAAAATCAAATTTGTTAAATTAATTGCTTATAACACACATTATTAATTAATTATTAAGTAATATAGATAAATAGCATAAGGCAAAATAGCAAATCGAGAAGTGAAAATTATATCTCTCACTTTTCATGTTGAGAAAATTTAACTTTCGATTTTAGTTGTTTTATTATTATAGTTATTTGTTATATTATTATATTCATACTTATTTCATTTTAATACAGTAAATTCCTGTTAACTCGAACCTCCAAGAGACCAAAGAAAACGGTTCGACTAAACGAATGTTCGACCTAAGCAAAGTAAAACAAATTTTATTGCTTTCAAAAGACTTTAGAAAATAGTTTGAGATAACAAAAGTTCGACTTACCGGGTATAAACTGTATTCAAATCTTATTATTATTATTTTTTTTTATAACTTTGAATGTTTTTTTAGTTTTAACTTTATTTAGTAAAATTGCAATTAATGATTAATTTATAAACAAACTGTTTAAAAAATTACTTAAATATTATTACAAAAATAATTATAAAACGTAAAAAACATAAAATTTATCAATATTAATTACGACAATTGTAGTAGTAATTTTGGTTTTTAATTAAAAACTGAAAGCTAAATTCTCTTAATAATATTACAAAAGGAAGATAGAGCCCTATTGTTTTAATGTCACGAAACCAATCCGTCGTTATTGCACGAACGTATATTCTGTTGAATTAACGGATTGAAATTTTAACGAAACAAAATCATTTGATATAACTCCGTTAAAATAAAGAATTTGTTACCTTAGTGTAACAAAAATTCCGTTGAAATAAAGGAATTAACACGATAGTGCATCAAATAATAAAATGTTACTACTCCGTTGACAAAAAGGAATTGACACGTTAAAATAAAAAAAAAAAACACTATTAATATTAAGCAATGATTTGATATAACAAAATAACTATTACATTTTTAAATATAGAGATTATTTTATTATGTTTTATAATAATATCCATTGGTGCTTAACATTATAAAAATAACAATAATAAACACCTACATGATATAAGGACTACTTATTATACAAACTGATATGATTGGGACCCTTTATTGCTTAATTTGTAACAGGGCCGACGACACCCGGGAGGCAAGGGTGCCCTCCCCACTTTTCTAAAAAACTTTTTTTTTTTTAGAAAATTTTAGATATAGAAGACTTTTTTTAAGAATTGACGATTGTGCTCCCCCACTTTGAAGCCCGTGTCGTCGGCCCTATGTAAGCAGGCTTCAAAAAAGCCTCAATTATATATTGAAAACTAATCAAATAATTTTAATAATGCAATTCAATATACAATCTTTCAAATACAACAAAAATAGTTTTTTAAAACAGTCATTATATTCATAGTACATTTATATACAAGGCGTGCGCACCCACACTCACCCACGCAAATACACTTTTATAACTAATGGATTAAATTAAACAAATGCTAACAAAATTCAGTTTGTAATACTGCTAGTAATCGTATATATGCTCGCACATTCCAGCAACCTGTTGTCAATTTCATAAAAAATTTAATTTTGCGTAATGCAAAATTAAATTCTAATTTTACTAATAACCCTTTAAAAAATTATTTTACTGCTGACTCTTTATTAAAAAATTTCTAGCAGAAATTTTGTTATTTCATTAAGTTATAAAAAATTATAAAAAATGTAACAAAAATTATCTTATCTGATGCTAGAAATGTTTCATAATTTCCATATGCATCAAGATTTGTCAGAAACAAAAATTATTCAAAGGTCTTTTAGAATTTTTTAAAATTAATCTATTAAACATATTCTTTATGGCTTAAGGTGAAATAATTATAAATCAAAACAAAAATAAATACACATGTCAAAACAAATGCAAGAAACAATATTTTAAATTTTACAGCAAATTTAAACCAGTGTGAGCTAATTTTTATGTAAGTTTTTGTTTTCTTCTTTTTTTTTTTTTTTAGCATTGATTTTTCTTTACCCCTAATATAAATCAACATACAAATAATATTTTAAATGTACTATAAATAATAGTATTATTACGTAGTAATAATACTATTATCAATAATACAATTAAAATTACTAAGTATTATTGCATAACAATAATACTAATTTTAATAGTATTATTGTAATGTAATACATTGCAATAATAGATTTACTACTAATAGTAGTTAAAATTGCTCAAAATCACTATAAAGCTAGCTATTCGCTAGCTCGTTTCCTACCGGGAAAAAGTTTAAAAAAAGCCGTCATTAATTTTTAATTTTTGGATTTCTTAAAAGACCTAGAGGACGCTATAGTAAGAGTATTCTTTTAATATAAATTACAAATAAAGTTTGTTTTTTATTCGTTGCAAAAAAGTAAATGCAATTAGTACTTTTAAAAATGTGTTTTTTTATTACTATATGATTGGATATATTTAAACAAAAAGATTCTTTCAGAACTCTATTTGAAGCAATAAGTACAGTTGAACAACATTAAGCAAGCTTCTTCTACGTAAACTTAACGCTTTAAATTTGTACAAAGAAATATTTTTAGTTTTGCAGTTCATGTGTAAAATTAAGTATAGATTGCCTCCAATTATATTTATATCTTATTCTTGCAAAGTAAAAATTGTTTTCCTCAAATCTGATGAGTTATAACCCAATGGACACCGACGTAAAAACGACGTCTTTTAAACGTCTTATACACGTTTTTGACGTCTTTTGAACGTCTTTAGAATGTTTTGGACGTCTTTTGAACGTTCAAAAGATGTCTTTTTTTGGTCCAGTGCCCACTGAGAAATGACTCATCAGATTTGAGAAAAACAATTTTCTTACTTTATTATATAAGTTAAATTCTTATTTTATTCAGTGTCAAGGATCATTTTTGTAAAAATGTTTCAGCAAAATGTTAAAACTAAAAAAAAAAAAAATCACTTTAACAGCTTAAAGCTAGTTTAAGACGTCGTTTAATACTAAATATTTAGTATTACTAAGCATTTAGTAATTAAGTGTTTAATTAGACTTCTTGCAACAAATAAAAAATTTGGTTTTACTTATTTTTACTCAAACTTATATTAGATAATAATCTACACGTATCTCCATAATAATCTACAGATATCCTTTCAAAGTTATCATTAAAAAATTACTTGAAATGCAAATGCTATTAAGAATTATCAAAACCATAAACCACGTAAATTGCTTTCAAATGCTCAAGCGCTTTTCGTAAGAGATTAGCAATATTGGTTATTAATAAGAAAAATGTCAACAATAAAAATATTACATATTAAAACGTTTAAACACGTTTTAGACGTATAAAACAAATCCTATGCTTAATCGTATTTAAAAATTGATTAATCGCCCTAAAGCAAAATTTCCATTTTACCACATTCAAACATAATACTCCAAGTTATTCAAAGAATCTGATCAAATTAGCTCCTCTTAAAATATATTCCGCTGTTAAAAATTTAAACAAAACTAATACCTATGAATATTTGAGGTTGTGCGAGATGTTGTTAAAAACTTTTGTATTTGTTTGTTTTGCTAAAGAAGGAAAAAGTTTTTAATTGCCCTATCCAATGTTCGTGTTTGTAACAAATAAGAAACATTAGTAGCGAAAGATATGTCAAAAGTTTTTTAATATGAAATTATCTTGGTTTTTATGATTTTTTTATACTATTTTATGCCAATAATTTGGTTATAAATCAACTTTAAATAGTTTATTTGAAAGTTTAAAGAATCTAACTTATTGCAAATCGAAAGTACCGTTTTACTTAAGATGCCTTAAAATGATAAAATTTACGATTTCTGTTGCTGTTTTTAAACTGAAACAAGCCGGTTCTTCCTCCAAATAAGCCGCCTTTTCTTTTCCATTTAAGGTGGAATATTATGGCCTAAACTAAAAAGCTGCAGTGGGGTTGTTCATAAATAATAAAGCTGCAGTGGGGTTGTTCATAAATGTTAATGCTGCAGTGGAGTTGTTCATGAATGATAAAGCTGC